TCTATGCCTGCTAAACCTTCATAGTATATAGAACCTAAACGATACTTTGCATAAATATTACAATCGCACATACCAAATACGGGGATTGTCTCTTTAATGGTCAAGGGATTGCGAAAAATAAAACACGTGCTATAGAACTTTATAAAAAAGCTGCTAATGATGGTAATATTTATGCAAAGTATCGTTTAGGTTCTATATACTATGAAGGTTTAGCAGGCATAGAAGACAAAGAAGAAGGAGCACATTATTTGAAGCTTGCTGCTTGTGAAAATTATAAAAAAGCTATTAATGCCTGCAAAAAATATAAAATTCCCTATTAACTATTTTCATAGAATAAGGCAGATTGCGTCAAGACACCTCAAACTGCAATTCTTTAATAAGCAATTATTCTTTACGAGTTGCAATTCTAAGGAAAACAAAATGATTTTGTGATAAATGTAGGGATAAATGTCTTGACCATGGCAAAATGCGAGGTGTCTATTCATGTGATTTTGATGCTCTGGGTCAACGATCAACGCCATTATAGATGTGTGCCTAAATTATTTTTGCAAAAAAGTATTTCGGTGAACATCTCGTCATATGATACATTTTTTATAGAAAATCTCTGAAATAACTATGCAATATGATGAATTTTGATGAAAAACTTTTAAAATTCGGAAATATGAAAATTAATTTCGGCAACTATGAAAGATCAACCTCGGCTGACTAAATGCCGTAATAATTTTTTATTATGATAGGCAATTTAGGCACACATGTACTGTATAAACACCATCAAAACTTTCTAGGCCAACCCAAAAAATTTTTCCGAAAATTTTTTCCGTTAAGCTAATGTTAAGTTTCGTTATTAGATTAAGGTTTGGTGACTACAGTAATACCAAAATTTCGCAAAACTTTTATTCATTACGCAGAAGGCAATTTCATGTGCAACATTAGAATTACTAATTTTGAAGTTTGATTGGCTGGTGAAATTTTATAGTTGGTACCGCTCCGAGTCGGCTAGCTCTAGACCTATATTTATGCAATCCAGGCTGATTGATTTTCAGGTCTTTAATTCGGATGTGATGTTAAGTTAGACAAACTATATTGCCATTGCGATAGTAAATTTCGCACAAATATTTTTACTTAACGACCAATTTTTATCTTTGACCCAAAGTTTTTGGGATCCACTATCTACAATGCCCAGGTTAAAGAAATATTTGAACAAATATTTGTAAAAATTTATTTATTTTGTTTTAAAGTTTATTAATAATTTATGCCTTTTAGTTTGTTATTATACAAAAGTATTTATCTATGTTAATTTTTTATTGTATGTCCATTTTTATAGTACCCAAAATACAAAACATATGTA